CCTAAATATCAATTCTTAAATATCAAACAAATAATTTGTGTTAAAACAGCGTTTTAATGAATTTCAAGAACAAAAAATTGCCCTAAAACATAACCATATATTACAATGTCAAATATCATAAAAATAAGACTAATTTTCATAAATAATTTTTGCATATATATAATATAATATCAGAAATATTTAACTTAGACTAATTTTTTTAATGAACATTTAATTTTGCAAAGCAAATATAATTGGGTAACCTTCCCTTCGGTATACGCTCGTACAAACATACAAATATAGTAATTTAAAAAGTAGTAGCGTAAAACAGTTTGGAAGTCATTGAAATCCATTGATACATGACGGAGTAAGGGGTATGTAAAACCAAAAATAAATTGTTATTGTATGATCTTTATATTGATTTTGTTTGGAGAATGATGAATGATTTATACTGTTGTTTGCGTTTCTCTTCATTTATCAACTCTCATATTTCTCTGTTAAGAGAATAATTACAAGCCCTATAAATTAATATGATTTTTTTAAGAGAAAGAACAACAACTAAATAATCATTCATGCTCATATGATGACGACGTTTTTGTTATGTTTGTTTTGCAATATTATTTTTCTTGTTCTTTTGTTTTCATTCATGCTTTGAATAGAGTATTCATTCAGAACAACCCAATTAACCCATTGTGGGTAATTTTTTTATGAGTTATTAAGTCAATGAATTATAGATCCAATAAATAAATACCTTATATTATTAATGATAATTGTTAAAATATGTAATACAATTAACGATTATTTTTTTTTATAATTTCAAAAATCCTATTGTCTATTGCTACATATAAATATAATGCCTTGAAAATAATATATAGCTTAAAAATGAATTTCTAAATAAAAAGTTGTCTTCTTGCAAAATGGGTTAGATAGGGGGGAGTGAATATATATGAGGGTTCCTACGTAAATATTCAAATGCCAGTACGAAATAAGGAAGGTGAGGGTTTAGAGGCAGATACTCTTAATACCATCTAAGAGTATATTATAATAAGGCATCAACTAATATCCGACACAAACATTAAATTACTTATCTGTATTGTGGGGTATTTTCAATTATTTTTTTATCAATTTCATTCGACCATTTTTTTCTTTATTTATAAATTTTCTTAAATAAAAGGGAGTCTATAATAATCATGTGATGTGAACATGGGTTGATATGCAAAGGACACGAACCCCCCACCCGACTGTAGCTAGGAAACGAAAAGGCTCCCATTGTCCCAACACATATCAATATCTTCGAATGCCTAGAAATTACTTTAAAAATGCATTCACTCGAATTTATTCGTGTTCATTACAAGGAAAATTCATTTTCATTATGAACAATATTCAAGCGTGAGTAAAAATTCTCGGAAATGACGGCCAAGTTTGGACCAACGAATTTTAGATTTAACTCTTCAACATCAATATCATTATTTGAATGGGATCTAGATTTGTTTCCAATGCCGATTTCTCGTATTTTCTTCCATTTACATTTGCTGCTTAATGCTGTTGAAAATTTGTATTTGTAGTAAATAGATTTAGCCTTTTGTATACAGCTTGTTACTTCACGTCTAAAAGATTTGAATTGTTCATAGAGCTCTGGTGTTTTGTATTTTTTCCGTCGTTTGTAGCTATAATCTCTTTTATATATAATAACTTTGATATGATTATTAAACCATGGTTTCTCTTCATTCTTCGGTGAAAATGTTTTTAAGGGCACACATTCATCCAAAATAAGATAAAATTTTTCTTGGAGAAACATTACTTGGTCATTTGCATTTGTCATGGCATAAATTTCATCCCAATAAATACTGAATAAGAGGTAATTTAAAAGGTTATAATTTGTTTTGCTAAAATCGCGATATGAAATGGTTTCATTTGTGATGATGACATCAATATCATAAACCATGTAAAGAAGGTCGTGTTTAGAAAACACTGGAGCTGATAGCTGATCATACAGTAGAATTTTTGATAATTGGTTAGAAAAAATAATGTCGATTAGGCTATTCGAACTAGTATGAAAATGAGTAGGATTTGTGGTGTTAACTGGATATAAGTCGATCATTTGAAACTCATCGGCTAACATATTTTCGAGCAGAATATTGCTGTTAAAATCGCCGCAAATAATAATATCATTGTATGCCACTGAAATATTTTGTAAGTCTGAAAGCAGTTCAGTAACTTCTGAATGTTTATTCGGTCTGTAAACGCAGCCAATAAGACATTTTTGAGACATTTTTAGATTTAACTCCATGATGATATATTCATTCGGGCTCGAACTTTTAGATTTCGATATAACTTTACATTTAATGCTATTTTTAATGTATATGCACACGCCACCAGCAAAAGATACGCGATCCGCACGGAACAATGTATAGCCAGGTATATTATAGATGCTGTCTTGTACTTCGCAATGAAACCATGTTTCAGAGATACAAATGACGTCAACTCCCGAGGAAACGAAGAGTTGTTGAAATTCATCTAGTTTATTATTAAGACTTTGAGCGTTAATATGTACCAATTTGAGTCCATTTCGTTGTTTGGTGAGAACCCTTATCATGTTGAAGAGTACGTCTTTGGAATTATATCTAGTATCACAGATCATATATCACAGTTAAAAAAGCAACAAGCACCTGCACAACTAGTTTTAATTTCAGTGATTTCATTTCTTTAAACAATATTGATATTAATAATAGATAATTAACTTTTTTCAAATTTAATAAAATGTAAAAATATGATAAGATTAATTTAAAATTAATTTTTAAAAATAACTGTCTAAATTTATTGATTTATACGTATATGATTGGTAACGCATAAACATTGTTGTTGGCAACACTGTAAGTTGACATAGCTGTTGGCAACAATAAGAATGACATTTAGTTAACACCTTCTCCATTGCACGAGTGATCAGGCACAGGTTGTTGAGAGAAGCGAAAGAGAGTATTTAGTTGATCTATGGAACTAATGGTGATGGGAGTATCAGCATCATCGCGTTTCACAAAACCAGCCCGCGTAATGTGAAAGCAGCAGATATGAGTTTTTTCTTTTTTATATTAAGTGCAGCTTTGAGAATTTTGTAGTTGGTGTTAGTGAGATCCTCATTAATGAAGAAAGAGACATCGGTGTCAAAACCAGCGAGGCGCAAAGGCAATTGGGTTTTGTTTTGCCTTTTAAAAATATTAGCAGCTTTGAGTATGTTATTTCTCTCTTGCGGAGAAAATAACTTTACTAAAATTACGCCGTCGGTTGTTGTTGTAAAATTTTTATTTTGTTTTAAACGTTGAATTGATTTTATATTTGGTGGCATAATATTTAGAGAGTTGCATATATTTTGTAAAATATTGGGTAGATTTTCGTTTTGATGAGATGGTATTCCACAAAGGCGGAGGTTACAAGAAACTTTTAGATTTTCTTGTTGTGAAATTTTTTGTTTTAACATTTGAAGTTCATTGTGTATGACTTGAATGTCTTGTTGTTTGTTTTCAATCATTTTCATTTTATCACTTAGTTCTTCGACCCTAAGAGAGATTGTTAATATTTTTTCTTCAATTCCTCTTAAGGCCTCATCTACACTCGTTTTGACGCTTTCTTTAATATTGGCAATCATTATTTCGTTTTGTTTTAAGAATTTCGCTTCTATGAGTTGGATTATTTTTGGTGATTTGTTATGCGATGAGATGGGAGTAGCGTCCACGTATGTCGTTTTTGTTGTTGGCGTTTATCCATTAAAATTTTCTGAAATTTGTATTATGGTTTACATAATCCACTTTTTGGTATGTTCCCTATATTTTCATTTCTAGTACCTGTCAGTATATCTATGGTGGAGGGTATCCAAAGTTCGGCCCGGCCGAACTTAACGCTTTTTCACTTGATTTTTTTTTTAATTTACGGTATTTATATTTATACACAATTTTAATCATTATTTTCTAATTTTTCACACTAAATTCAGATTTATTTATATAATCCATATTCTATATTTTTTAATTTTGGCAACAATTTTGAATTTCAATTCACACTCGTTTCTCTAATTTATTAAAATATGTGTGTTGTTCAATTCAACCATTAAATTTCATTTCACCTTAACAAATTCTCCAAATATTTGAAAACATATTTCTTTCGGTCGTTGTTCTTTGGTTTCTGGATCGACTGCTTGAAATCGTGCCAATAGTTTGTAACGACCTTCCATATTGTAGGCAAACTCCAGAACAGTGTTCACATTAAAATTTTCATAGTGATAGATATGCTACAAAATCAATAGTAATAGATTATCAAATTAACCAAAGAAAAACCATCCCAAGATCCACTTTACCAACTTACACCATAATTATTAATACATTTACGTTCATCTTCAGGTATATATCGGGTCCACATTTGATACCACACGGATGCTTTATTAAATTGAATGGAACAGAAATCTTTCGTAGACATGTAAATTGGTGTAGGCTGCCAGTAACCACGTTGAAATTTCAGAAGTTCACCGTAACCCTGTTGTATTAGAAATACATTACAATTTTTGTCAGGCTTTCTTTTTCCAGACCACATTCTTACTGTAACAATATCTGTGGATTCCACACCTTCCCATACGAGCGATGCATTTCCTGTTACATAAATTTTCCCTTCAAAATATTCGAAATTTACACCACTCATATCCATTAAATCGTCAATGCCATTATTGTTCTCCAATTCGGGGCATTTATCGAAAACTGCATCATTTTCAACGATGTATTCATAACGACCGGCCTTTGCCACGGACAGCAGCCATGTCAGGAGGAGTAGAAGAAAATACGACGTGCGCGGATCAAACATTTCACCTGAAATTTTTATTATGAATTTTAGAGAGGTTTGTAGCGTGATATTTATACGATCGAGCAGAGTTCAAATGTTATATGTTTTAAATCTAAACAATATTTGTATATAATTAAATAAATAATTATTTTTAAAAATTAAGACAAAAATGTTAATGGGCGTAACCAAATTCATACAATGTTTTCTAATCTGTTTGTTTACAGTTTGTTGCATTTTTTATTATTCCATTGCAATGCGAGGACTACTACATTTATTTCTGGCATAATAATTAATATTATAATAGGATAATATACGTTTCTCACCAACCAATCCAACAATTTTATTAGATAATTTGACAAGTTGACGTACGAACATTTGTTGTGTTGTTTTAATTGACTTGAAAATTTTAAAAATGGAAATTTTGAATTTACTTCTACACCCATCGCAATGTGGTGTAAATTGGTATTGCTATCAAAAAGTACTTTGTCACCTGTATCCTTCGGTTTCCTCACGAGTCTGAAGATAAACTGAGTTATAGACGAAAAATAGAATTTTTTAATTACATGAATGGGGTCGAAAAATGATACTCTATTGTATAAATTATAATAAACTTCACATAAAGGAATTGAGATAGGGTGCTGAAACTCTTTTGTAAGAAAAAACCCTACACAACTTGCACGAAAATCTAACTTTCTGTGGTTCTACATTCTGAACGTGGAAAATATTTCACGATATTTGCACCCTCTTGACCGACTAGAGGTCAAAAAATATTACTAATATTCAGTACACCCTTTCTAATTACTTGTCAATATTCCCTTCACCGTGGGTTGTGTTGTGATGTTCGGCTTCCAATCAACCCGAAAAAAACACAAAAAATAAGTTTTCGGTCCACTGCATCCCAATATTTTGATCTGATCATCACCGAAAATTATAGGCGTTATCCTTGACCATACCTAGATCCTCATGGAAAATTTTAAAGCGATCCGGGCTATATTTCTGCTTCTAGTGTGGTAATGTGTAACTAAATAATATATGAGTACGTAAACACCTGTAAATATTTAAGTGTAACTCCCACATCCGAGTACATACTTCAATGTAATTGGTATCAATTTAAAGGCCATCCACTCCTCTTGGATATACAATCAACTTCTCGGGTCTATGTCCTTCAGGAGCAAATATATACGCCATAGAATACAAATTTTGTCATTTTTCACACAAAAGTCAGAGTCCATTTGACCCGCTTTGGCCCGATCTCATTCTCCATGTAAAAATTCGCGATGTTTGGGCCGTAATTGCGGCCTCTAGGACGACCAAAAAATCAGACAAAAATTTAGTTTAGTTTTTGGTCCATTTCATCCCCTGACCAGAACCCATCCTACATGCAAAATTTCGTGAAGATTGGTCTATAACTGTGGCCTGTATCGTGTTTACAAATTATAATAGACAGACGGACGGACGGACACACATGTCTAGATCGACTCAGCTAGTCGAGATATGACGTTCGGTATACTTAAAGGTGGGTCTAGGACCAATATTTCGCGGCGTTACAAACTCTTGGTGCTGCACAAAGCTATAATACCCTGACAACATAGTTGTGTAGGGTACAAATATTCTACTGTTTACAACTTGTTTTTGAAAAACGAGTACAATAACTACCAATTGCCATATTTTAAAGCCACTTAAAACCCAGTAGTTTCGTTGTTGTAATTTTTCCTAATATGAGTTTCGTACCTGCTGGCACCAGCAGGATGAATATATTGTGTTGACAGTCTACTCAACTGATGTGGTTTTGTTTAGTCAGCATTACACACACGAAGGAACAAAAAACACGAAACTAAGGTACTTCGATGCTTAGAACACATAATTCCTCTGGAAATGCTATGCCAAAATCTCTGTCTGTCCCTCTCTTGTTTTGTCATTTACTTGTGTGTTGTCAAGTTATTTAAAATGTTCTTTGAAATCAACAACAGATGTTTGGTTGCGAAAATGTTAGTATCAATTTCAATTATATTTAAATGATTTTTGGAGTTCTAGGAAATTTTTCGAAAATATCTTAACGGAGATTTTTATGTAATTGTAATGTCGGTATTAGTTGTGTTCATACATGCATCTCGCTCCATTCCTCAAGGGGTTTTAACTGAAACCACCAAGTTAAATAAAATTGAATTTCTGGGAGCAGCATATCCAGAGTTTCTGTTCCGTTTGCCTTTACATCTTTCATCACAGGTCGGTGTCGGTGAAATGTCTTCGTCGACGACGATATATAATTCGTCGGAATATAGCAACTCAATCTGCTACCAACTAAATTCCCAACATAGGCAGTCCGTCTCGCAAATGAGCGCGATGAACTACGTCATTCTTGCCCCGCAGATACTGAATGAGCCGGGGTCAACCAAAACAGTGCTGGTAGCTCTTGCCCTATCAAAAGCATTTGATACCGCCAATCATGCCATACTGTTTGAGATCACTTACCTCTGGTCAAGTTTGAAATGTTGGATAATCTTTAATGCATGTGTATACCACAGTCGTTGATAGAGTTCCGGATTAGAAGTTCAAACTTAGAAGTGTGACACGGAGTTCCCCCGGGTCAGGTGATATCTCCGGACCTATTTAAAATCTTCTTGACATCATAGGGATCATTGCATATGCAGATTATACAGTCGAGTCCTGTCATTAAGGACATAAATACGAATTTTGTTTTTCAAACATAATGGTCGAGCTTTTGAAGTTTTTCTATGTTTATTAACACTGTTTTAAATGTGTTGTGAAACAAAACAAATTTCGTGTTATGATGCATACTTTTTGGCTTATATTAAAGTCAGTAAATTGACATAAACGAGGGTTAATCTAGCTTCTGACGGCATAAGCATTAAAATAAAACCGGAAAAGAACATTGACGGGGTATTATCGTTATATAATTATTTTTTCATAGCGTATTTATTTATTCATCAATAAAGATAGTAAACATTTGAATATAATCCCCCTCACCCTGTTTTCCTCTCCAATTCCAGCCAACAGATCCTATTTGTTCGATGTCTTAAGTTTTGAAAAGAGAAAAAGGTCAGGCCAACCATGTCCGGTAAATACTGCTTGGTGTTGCGCCAAAAGCTTCAATTGTTGAGCTGTACATAATTCACGATTGGTGTTTCTACAATTCTATGCGTTTCTGGATCGTCCTTGACGATGTTCAACAGCTCCTGAGTCATGTCCATACGACGTTTTTTTGCACAAAATTTAGCAATTTTGGAACAATCTTAGCTGAGGCTCGTTTCTCGCCCAAAAATTGATTGGCGTGAGCCGAACGATATGTAAGCAATCTCTCAGTTCCAAATATTCACTGGAGACCCCATAATGTATATATTTCATATTGGTATAGCCACCATGTAACGGGGCATTGAATATTCAGTGTTTTTGGGATATTTAGCATGTTTTTTAAACGAATTGACTTACAGTTGACATATTAGGTAGCAAATATCCCATCAACAATTATCGATATTGGTACACTTTTATAGAGATATCCCCCATATAACCATAACCCCTTTATCCGGTTTTTTGTGGAGTTTGGCCACGTTTTTAACCCAATCGTCCTACCAATGACATAGCCTGCCGTTTATGAAGGTCCTGAACGATAAGCAGAAGTTCGGTTCAGGTATGTGCAGTTACTAACAGTGACTGCATCACTCGGAGACCTCACAGTCCATTGTGATCATCCAAAAAGAATGATGGAGAGTTCTGGAGATAGAAAGTTTGAGTGTCGTTCATTAAAGAACGCATCAAAATTCCGGAAATGTTGACAGCAGGATGGTTTGATTGTGTCATCGATTGCTAGATCTGTAGATTGAGATCCTCGTCTAGCTAATTCGTCTGATTTTTTACTACAAATGAAGTCACAGTGTCATGGTACCCAACACAGCCGATAGCTGTTAGTAAGTGTTTCCAAAACTGATCTACAGACGATGACGACCTCAGACTTGATATTACAGGATTTGTTGGCTTTAAGTGCTGCTTGTAGATAAGCTCAAGGCATAGCCTTTCACAGTAGACGCCAGCCCCCAAAATCTTCTTTCATCTTGAATCCGTCTATATAAAAAGCCAGGCCGTCCAAAGTAGCGTTACTACGTTTACAGTCCTCTCTACTGGGGATAGCGACATCTACATCGTCAAATCTCAGGACTGATGATATATAGTCGTTGAGTTTGCCACGTTGGTTTAATGTGATACATGGCTCGTTCAGAATACAACCATGCCCATATGCACAATTTCGCAAAAGATTCTGTTTATGCAGCCTTAGGGCACTACGTGCTGCCTTACACTGAGACCTAGAGGCCTTATGTCAAGTATTGCTTTCAGAGCAGCTTGGGTTACGAGAATCGAGATTGCTCTTTGTAGCAGCAGACAAAAAATTCATAAGATAGGATGGTAAGGTGTTATACAACCAGTGTGTAGTCGAAGGTTTTAGCCACCTGTGGAATTTTCTTCGCCCTCTCCTCGGCTTTCCTTTTCCATTGTAATTCAAGATTGTGCCAAGGTATTTTTGCATCCAGTGCTCGTGGAACAATGACGCCGAGCTTATGCTTCCTAGTGAAATTTACCAGTTCTGCCTTTGTTTGTTAAACTTGAGAATTGACAAAGAAGGTGGTGTTTACATGACTTCTAAACTCCATATCGATCCGTGTTTCGAGATTCTTGAGGAGAAAGGATGAAAGGACTAATGGGTCTGTACTCCTTTGGTGCAGAATGGTTAGGTTTTGACGATTTGGGAATGTAAGTAATTTTTACTTACATTCCATAGACCGGTCACACACGAAGGAGTCAGACACGCCGTATGGATCTGATATATACGTAGTGGGGCAAATTGAATCATCGCCAGTGTTACACCATCTGGCCCATGTGTTTTATATACTTTGAAAGTGTTGATTGCCCAGCGGATCTTGTTTCTGCTACCCACCTTGCCAATGAGATCCGTATCCACAGTTGCTAGAAGTTGAATGTCATAACACTCGATGCTGACGGTATTCACATCTTAGCAAACCTGGGAAATGAGTATCTATCTTGTATCAGTATTTCACATGATGTGACTTCTCTCGTTTCAGACATTCGGTCTGACTCATTCCGCATTATTATACCCTTTACCACACTAGTACTGGGTATTATGTCTTTGTGCATATGTTTGTAACAGGCAAAAGGAATCGATATAGACCCATGGTTCCTTTTGAGAATATGCATAGAATCACTTTCTGAATCGATTTACGCATGTCCGACCATCCGTTCGTCTCTTGATGTTGAAGTGTAAACAAAGTACAGGTCACATTTATGATCCGAATTGGATACAATTTGGCACAGCTCATTTATTTGGCATAAGGACGAACCCTATATAGATATATATATATATATATATATCATCCGATTTAATGTAAATGGTGAACCATAGTCACTATATATCTTCCGATTTGCACGAAATTTGGCATAACGCACTGAATTAAGTCGTAGCGTACTGAATTGAGTCTATAATGATATGTGCTAAGTTTCGTGGGTCAAGCGGTCTTACATTTTCACATTTTCCCCTCAGCTTGTTAACCTGTGTTCTAAATTTGTTAATTGGAAAATTTTAGTACGTAATCGAATCACACACTCACTCATTTATCAATTTGTTGTTCAAAAAATATTTGTATCACAATATAATTATTTAATTGGACTAACATCGGATTAGGGATAATCGGCATGTTATCGCTGCGACACAGGTTTATCCGAACACACATTCACATGTTCGCATACTACAGATATCGTCGGAATGAATAAATAGCTCGCGTGAAATTCAACAATGCAGTTGGGAAATTTATTGCATCTCGAACAAAATGCTGCGGAAACAGCGGAATTATTTGATAATATTTGGCATTTTTGTAATAAAATCGACGGTAGAAGCGGGTCGTTATGAATTCATTATCGAGAATGATGACGTTTTTGAGGAGTGTTCCGATATGCCCGGCGCTAAAAGTGTTTTCCATGCTTTCGATTTGAGCGGATTGCATTTGGAATATCGAGAAGGAGGTAGTATTGATGTTAGCGGAAATACAACCAACATATGGAAGGAATTGGAACCAACAGATATTGTTATGGTAAGCTATAATGGCTAGGGGCGGAACAGAAACATTAATGGAACTAATGAAGTTGTCTGCAGGTCACAGGTGAATTTTATAGATTCCAACGTGGAACCTGGCAGTTAACACCCATTTCGTTTAGTGTAAAGGATTTTTGTGCGGAACAATTTAAACCCCGATCGGTTTGGTTTCAAGTATGGACACAATATATACATGAAGAGGATCGCAAATGTGTCACTGTATATGGGGTAATTTCGATTTCATTTATATTTAATTGGTTCAGATTTATTGTTGTGTGTGTATATTTCCCTTACAGCAAGTCTATCACTACTATAATTTTACTGTAGATACCATCTTTGAATTTTCCAACAACATGGAGGGTCGCTGGAAACTAAAGGTAAGAACATGGGCCTTAGAATCAAAAACATTACGACGACGTTCGGCTGAAGTATGTTTTCAAATAGTGGGAGAATATGTAAAGGTTAAATAGTTAATCGAAAAAATATGTAAAATTTTTTTGTTATAAAAATAAATGTAATAAAGCAAGTTCAATGTTTGTTGTTTGTTAGATGCCGCACATTTTGATTATGTCTCAACAAAGCTTTAATGGTCAAGTCAAATGCAAACGAAAGTTATTCGTGGAAGATATTGCCCAAATTGCCCACCATTGTACGGCGACCGATCGCCTTAATCAACGTAGCAGGTCAAATCTGAGTGACACAGCACAATTTTGTTGCCTGATGTCTTCGGAGAAATTCGAATGAACCTATATTGGTAATTTTCTGCAAAGATTATGGTTACCTTCGTAACACCTGGACTGCCACATAGAAGATGAGACTAATTATGTATTGTAACTATGTATTGGCTATGTCCAATAAGCATGGACGTAAATTACAGTGACTTCGATTGAATAATAAGAGGGTCGTCTGATCCATATGTTGCAAACGGGATGATATATTTAATATACCTTCCACCTCATGGTGAAATAGCTTTTTTATATATATTTGGTAATATTGTGGGTGGAAGCAGTATCTTCTTTAATGTGAAAGAAGAGAAAAATCGTTAAGTTCGGCTGTCATCTTAGGCATCTCCCCCTCTATATGGGGAGATGTTTGGAAAATTGTTTCAAATGCCCAATAGAAATTTGTTAAGAAATGTTTAGATTTTTCGTAGAAAAAAGAGGGCCAGGACTTTTGGAGAAAACTAACTATTTTAATATAAAAAGGCGGTAATATGGGAAATACCCCTAAAAGGGGGCGAATATTAATAATTTTTGGCAGGAAAAAATGGGCCTATATTTATAACTTTTAGTGAAGAAATTTGGTATCCAATAAGAACCCATTGTACCAAATTTCAACGAATATGGGGGCTGCCAGAAAAAGTGGACCAATATTTATAATTTGTAGTGGTGACATTTGGTACCCAAAAAGAACCCAATGTACCAAATATCAGCGTATTCGGTTGAAAAACGCGCTCAAGAAACCCAAAAATACCGGGGGCAACCCGAAAAAAATAGACCGATATTTATAATTTTCGGTGGAGAAATTTGGTACACAATGAGAACCCATTGTACCAAATTTCAGCGAATTCGGTTTAAAAAGGCGTTTAAAACCCCCAAAATACAGTAAATTGGGGGGTACCGTAATGGGGGGGGGGGGTGTTCGGGGCTACCAGAAAAAGTAGACCGATATTTATAACTTTTTTTTTTTTGGTACCCAAAAAGAACCCAATGTACCAAACTTCAGTGAATTTGGTTGAAAAGCGCGCTCAAAATATCGAAAATTGGGCGGTACCTTCATATGGGGGCTATGCATAAACGTGGACCGATATAGTCGATTTTTGAACTTGACCTGCTTGCAGGCAAAAGACAACCCTATGCAAAATTTCAGCACCTTATTTAAATTTCTTCAGAAGATACCATTACGGACCAGAATATACCATTACGGACCTGACTGCAGACATAAGACAACTCTATGCCAAATTTTGGCGATCAATTCGTTAGGCTAGAGTTATTACAACAGTCGGGCGCACATGTATAAATCGTCGTGGGAGCAATATCTGAACCGTCGTTCAGAAATTCGAGCGAAATTTGGTTTGGTTGTTTCTGAGAGAAATCTGTCCGAATTCCTAATAAAAAATTAAGATTTTCTGAAAAATAAATATAGCGGGATTACAACAGACCGGACGGACGGTCTGTTGTAATAACGATATATTCTGAAGGAATTTGATTGTATTTTGTATGCAGGCAGGCCAAGATAGAAGATGAGCTATATCAGTTCACGTTAAGGCATAACCCCCATATAAGGGTGCCCCTTCAATTTTCTGTATTCCCTATGCCCCTTCAAAATTCGGCACATTGGATTTGTATTAGGTACCAAATGTTTCCATGTAAAATTATAAATATCAGCCCACTATTTATGGTAGCCCCCATATAACGTGTTAACTGATTTGTTCCGCGTTTGAGGGTTGTCTCCGTATACAACCTATGGAAATCTAAGACGATTTAATCGTTTTAGCCATCTGTTGTAATCATTCTACCTTCTGAGGATATCGAGATAAAAATCTAGAACACCAGATTAGAGAATATCCTATATGGGCCCGCATTTAGGCCTTGACCCTATATAAAAATATTTACCCATTTAATAATTAGGGTGAAGGAAAGTATTGTGATACAAAACGAAAATGTTAATGTTCGAAATTGAGCTATATCGGTCCTAAATTAGGCATATCCTCTCATATAATGATAACTCCAAATGTTCGGTAATTTCTAAACGATGTAATCAATATTGATCAAACATTGGGCATAGTCCTACATATAACTTTACCCTGTAAAGTGCAGTATTTTGAGGATTTTATACACATTCTCCACCCCAAAAATGCGATATCAATAACGGTCCACGTTTTGGGGTTTTGAGATTTTATGAAAAATCACCAATAAAATTGCTGAAATTGGTATTTGGTGTACATTATGGTTTACAAAAATCGATTGGTAGAATTGTCGTTATATGTCATTATATTATATGTCATATGTTTCCTATATTTATATGTCATATGTTTCCTATGATGGAGGATATCCAAAGTTCGGCTGGCAAACTTTACACCTTAAACGGCATATACATTAGAACTTTTTACTGGTTTAACCTACTTTATGAGGATTTATTTGACATATATGCAAAGGAATTGACAATTGAAACCCACCGGTTTCAATTGATGGATGAAAAAGGTAAACAAATAGACCAAAAATAAATAGATTTTAATTAATTATACCCTTCACCACACTGAGGTACAGGGTATTATGTCTTTGTGCATATGTTTGTAATAGGCAAAAATAATTGAAGTGGACCCATGATTCCTTTTGACAATATGCATAGAATCACTTTCTGAGTCGATTTATGTATGTCCGTCCGT